GTATATATATATACATACTGTATATGTGTGCTTATGTGTGTGTGTGTATAGGATCCTTGCTACATCTCTTCTTCAGTTTGARGGTCCCAGACTGTAAAATGCTGAAGACCCCCAGTGTAACCTGGGAGTCAAACATCACAGAGACAGAAGAAAATCCAGCGTCTCTAAATATGAGAACCARGCAGCAGAAAGTTTAATAGAATAAAATAAAAAAGTATCTGAGTACAGAAGCACAATCAATAACAAAAAGAAATCCAGGAACAGTCTCTGACCTGTGTGACTTGCACAAATGATATTTTAAAAGCAGCCTAAAAACACCAGATCAGACTCGGGTTGAATTGGTTTTTAAATGTCTGAACACACACCCTTGAAATTTGCCTTCAATCAATACCTTTCAAAATAAAATTTAAAAGGTGAAAATCAATGAGAAGCTTTTCATCTCATCTGTTTCATCAAGAGGACTCGCTGTCGTGGCAGCTTTTTATTTTATTCTTTCTCTACCCCACCCCACCCCCCACAGGCTAAAGCCCGCCCCCCTCTCTGGCCTTAACCATGTCCATCCGACAACACAAGCTTTCATCCTTTCCTCCGCGTTCTGACCCGTCTTGAGCAGTTTGACAGCCTGGGTGCGCTCGTCCGTCTCCCGGGTGTTCTCCTCGTGGACGTGGTTGTGGATTTCAGGCGCCGACGTGAGGGGCTCGAGTCGTCCCAGGACCCGGGTGACAAACTCTGCCACGTGAGGGGAGGAGGTGGGCCTGGTGTGGGGCAGGGCCACGTCGATCATGAAGATGTAGGTCAGGACGCTGGAGAGAGGGGAAAGGGACGGAGAAGGGGGGAAAAACAAAAGAAGAAAAGGAAAGGAGTCACAAAGTATTAGATCTCTACGAGGATGACTGTGTGACGCAGGAGAGCGGTTCTCCACCTGCCAATGCGCTCCCTGACGTTCTTGTACACCTGGGTGAGTTTGGGCTCCAGGTACGCCAGCAGCCGGTGCAGCAGTTCAGAAACTCTCCACTGCTGCTGGGCAAGACCTCCCTGGAGCACATACAGCCAACTGACAGAGACAAAGAAGGAGAGGACATGAGGATGGAGGGTGTGTGTGTGTGTGTGTGTGTGTGTGTGTGTGTGTGTGTG